ATACAAAAAAAAATGAAATTTCCGACCGCAAGGGATCATAGCCCGTCACCCGCGTAACCTAATATCCTTGACTTTCATTCCATACTGCAATTTCGTCAAAAGACTCAAAACAGACAGTGTCACTTTTTATTTTTTTTTAACGAAATTGAAACCAACTAATTTGGCTCGAATCCGCCCGATCCAGGTCAAACTTTTGATGTAATTGAGGGTCCGGAGTTCTTAGAACGCCGTACCCCCTTGACTCCAGCTAAGTCCAGATACGTCCAAGGGGTCAAGCGTTTGTATAGCACTGGACCCCCTGGACTCTAACCAGTCCAAATACATCCAGGGGGTCCGGGATCTTAAGAACGCCAGGCCCTCAAGAGCTAAAAAGTTTGACCTGAATTCAGTCCAATTTAGTCAATTTCAATTTCGTTCAAAAAATAAAAAATGCCCGTTTTCAACGTTTTGACAAAATTGCTGATCCATGGCCTCGTTCAGCACCTTCTGTGTCTCATTCCCTCTTGAAGTTGAACTCGGCCTCTTTTCTATTATTATATTATATAGATTTATCTTGATTCTGGTTGCATCTGGCTTCAAACTCAGAATCTGATCTGTTTTTCAACAGTTTATGGTTCTACAACTTGTACCGACGGAGGTAGGCCCGTTCATCCTAGTTTAGCCTATATGATATATTATCCCTGCTAATAGACGGAGCCTCCCTGGTGGTGCTAGTGGTGCCTGCTCGTATCAGCACCCCTAGCTCCCGCCAGGGTGTTCTCACAAAAAGAAGAAGAAGAAGAAGAAGAAGAAGAAGAAGAAGATATATCCATGCTGCCATCCAACCGGGGGGTCGCTGAATGGTCTGAATGCGTAATGCCTAATGCGTACACGTGAACGTGGAGACCAGCTGTGTTACCGCGCGTTCATTGAACGCGTGTTTCGCGCTCAGGTTTTGAACGCAGTGAACGCTCGTTCACTGAACGCAGGTAAACGCGTTTGACGCGTTTGCGCAGGTGGGTTTTGGCGCAGGGGGGTGGGCTGGGGGCCCCGTGTGTGTGTGTGTGTGTGTGTGTGTGTGTGTGTGTGAGAGAGAGAGAGAGAGAGGGAGAGAGAGAGAGAGAGAGAGAGAGCAGGTAAGTCTCCAACAGCGGGGCAGACCTCATGGTACTTCTATTGATCTGATGAGCAAAATTGAATGAATCTACAGCTAGTACATGGAGTTATATACTCCCACACTTCTTTTTTTTTTTTTTTTGAAAATCCAAATCCCCCCACCCGTAGTCCACCCTGCCCTCATATGGCAGGGTGGGTTGCGTTCGATAGATTTGTGCCACGTGGCACATTGCACGTTTGAACGCGTATGAAAGCAGCCCAAAGCCGTTTGAACGCGGGCGTTCGAACGAGAACGCGCGTTTGGCGCGTTCAAACGGTCACATAGGGGACCAGGTGCGGCAATTTTTTTTCCCCTCGAGATGCCCAAAAAACAAACAAGAAAAAAAAGACTGGGGGTTGCGATTACAGATGAACTATCCCCTTTGTAGATTATATTTTTTCTCTAATTTTCTCTATATATATATAATGTTTTTTTTATTTTTTTAAAACAGAACAGAAACAAAAATTTGGACCACCCGCAGCCGTGAGAACATTATTACCCGCCTGCATCCAAGACCTATTTTTTTGCCGTCCGCACCCGCTTGTGCCAATGCAGCCCTGCCCACAACTCCACCGGTGTCGCAACCTCTCTACCTTGCATCGCTTGCCAGCGTCACTCCGTCATGGCATCACACATCGGTAAGGTCAGGTAAGTTGGGGGCGGGCTTCCAAATTCGCCAAGTTCACTAACCAAGGGCGAAGTTCAAAGAGGATGGATCAGCCCGCCTATTGTGGCTAGAACCGCTCCCTCGTTTTTTTAGAGAAAAATTCAGCAAGGGGCTGAATTGCTGGAGTACGCTGTTTGTTTTGTTTTCTTGGCCCTGATGTAACAGGCGACCCTGGGTGACTGTACCTAGGCCCGCTTTTTTCGTCTCTCTCAACCTTGAGCCTGTGGACTGCACAGATGGACATAAGGTCTTGTTCGGTTTATTTTCTGGTAGAGAGAGGGGGGAGGGGGGGATTTTCTTGGGTAGTCTATGGGTCGGGTGACCCATGCCAACGCTTCACCCACCTGCCACCCACCCGACGGGTGAACCAGAGCAAATATTGACCCGCCCATGACCCAGAAATGCCCACTAGCTGCACACACCCGTCACCCACCCAAGGAGGCATAGGTAGACCCAAGCCCAACCCAATCACCTTGTGGGTCGGGTGGGGCAGGTGGGTGCAGCTGTGGGCACCCGGTGCCCACCTCTGCGAAACAGTCTGGCACATTCAATGACGTGCCTTTCTTGTGGAGTTGTGTATTGCGAACCTGAAAACACACACACACACACACACACACACACACACACACACACACACATGCACACCCATACACACACACAAACACAAACACAAACACAGGCACATAGTGTGTGTGTGT